ACTTTCAATCCAATCACTTTCCTTTGAGCGTGGTAAAAACCGAAAATCTCATCACACTTTTAACCATTATTATAAAGAATCGAATAAAGCAAAGCTCTCGCATGTCATAAGCGTTAAATTCAATTTGAGTTTTACAACGGGGGTGGTAGGAGTGGGCGGCCAGCCTTTGTTCGGGTTCGGTATGTTTGTTTGACAGTTTTTGCAGCGCACTCAATCAGCACTTGTTAGAACTTTTTAGTGTGCTATAAAATAAACATGAGTGTATAGAGCTGAAATGAAATGAAATTTAATAAATGCAGTTGGTTGAAGGGTGAGAGGGGGCGTATGGTATCTCTGGTCTGGTTTGGCTGAAACAAGAGTAGAGCAAAGCGACAGGCAGCATGACATGCACTTCATAAAACTTTGCTCATATAAATTGAAATTGAAATGAAATGATGATGCCAGAGCTGCCACGGTGATATATGTAGAAGTGGTTGTGAATGTATATGTATATGTATAGATGTGGATGTGAGCAAGTGAGAGTTGACAACCGGCGCGGAAGCTTCTTCTCCTCCCTTCTACCCATCGCACAATGGCTGGCTGTAAAAATTTGTTGGCCAAACAACAAGTGGAGCAGCCAAAGCAGCAGCAGCAGCAGCAGCAGCAGCAACAGCCTGAAAAACAACTTAAACTGTCATTGCAAAGTTTGAGCCAAAGCCCGGTAGAGCCATGGTGAGCCAGGGACGGGGGGGGGCTGGTATGGGGTATTAAAAACTTTTCTCTGAGCAATTATGTGAAGGCTACTTAACTTTTTTTGCAGGCAATAAATTTGCTCTTTAAACTAAGACTCGAACAGCTAGAGAGGAGCAAGCAGCACGCACCTGAGTTTTCTGCGACACAATTTTGTTGCACACTCGATTTTTCTTTTCCTATCCTTTTTTTTTTGTGAGTGGGAGGGAAAGAGGAAGGAGATTGTCCTACCCACTCGTAGAATTTGCCAGAGCTATGTGCAGAAATTCAATTAGCCAGCCAAGCGTGGGTTGGTGGAGAAATGGAAGCAGTTTGCCACTTGGCATGCCATGCAGTTTTCGGGGAATGCTTTGAAATACACGCACACATGCACACGGTGGGATTCAGATACTCTCTACTCTCCGCATGCCTAGATACATTTGCTTGGTTGTGTGGTTGTGACAGGCTTTCGATGATGCATGCTACTTGCTGCATGCTGAATGCTGCATGCTGCATACTTGCCTCAATTACGCCGAAAATGTCACATTAATTATTGGCATTTATGGGGTTTGCGCCGCTTTTGATATGATAGACGACAATGCAGGCCAACATTTGAAGTCTACTTTACGGCGCGCTATTGTTGTTATGTCCTCGAAAGTGCGAGAGTGTCTCTCTGTGTGACTCACCCACACAGAAATTTATGTATATATATGTATGTGTGTGTGTGTGTGTGTGTTTGTGCGATGTATTAATTGGAATTTGTTTTTGTGTGTCAGCTGCAAGACGACGACTCAGAGGTCTCTTTGTTGGCTTTTGCGGCAATTAAAAGTTAATTTGACAAAGCGAGACATTTCGAATTAATTTCGAGTCTAAACGACGTTTTAATTCAATTTATGTTTTTGGCAGCACAACTTGACAATGCCATCAATTGAGAGTGGCTCGATTGTCAATAGACTCCAAGGTCTCCGATCTGAAGATGCCAATTCAAAATGTGGGTAACTAGAGTGCCGTATTTTATTCTCTTCTTTAAATTAATTGAGTGCTGGGTTTTAGCTACCACTCCATTTTGGTTTTCATTCCAATTACTTAATGACAGCTTCCAGTTGCAGTGATTAGGCCGAAAGGCGCTTTAAGCAGGGCAAGGTTGCCCTGTTAACGTGGCCCATCCAATGTCAACTTATGCCAACCGTCTGTCAGCAACAGGAGCCGTTCGGTCTATTCACGTCCTCATGCGGCTACTTATGCAAAATGCTCGACTCCGCCACTAGACGACACCCGTTGCTTGCTCATATACACGCACATGGAAGCTTAGATTACCAGCGAAAGAGAGAGAGAGAGAGAAACAGAGATAGAGACGAGCGGTAGAGCCGGAAAGCGGGACGGCGGAGACACACAATTGTGTTGATTGCACAGATGACAAGAGCTAGGACGAGATGACAACTTTGCTGCCTGCCAGCCAGCCTTGATGACAATGAAGTGCATGCATGAATATTCTAATCAAATGAGCCGCCAGCCTGCTGTCCTGGCACCCAGCTCCCAGCTCCTGGCTACTGCCTGCTGGCTTCTGGCCCTCCTAGCTTTTGCCTGTGGTCTTGCCATTGTCGAGCTGTAAAATTTTTCGCCTCCGCCACATGGTTACACGTGGAGAAAAGGGATTAATGTTTAGTTTAAGTACCTAAAGAAGGAAAAGGTATAGAGAAACCACCTTTTAGTAACCAGAAACGTTCTCTTTTTCTAGCTTTTTTTACTTTATGACTCAGCTAACAATCCTCATTAATAATTATCCTTAAAGATTCCCTACCAATCCTTTAATTTCTCTCAGTGCTGCAACACCACATGCTTTGTGTTTTGTGCTGGGCAAAAGTTTCAAAGTCAGCCCAAGAGTCCCCCCGGCCAGAAAAACCTTTCCTTTACCTCGTTTCATTTCATTCACTCACTGAAATCGAATTTGCATAATTTAACATGATGGTTGCGCTTATTCCTGTAGCCTGTCAGGCGCACAGACATCGCCCAGCGAAGGAGTTGGAGGACTAAAAGGTGGAGGTTATTATTGTTCGCCCTCGGATTCAGCGTCACCGCATTTCGCTGCCACATGCATCATCATTTGCATACATTTGCAGTTCGCCCAGTCAGTCAATGTTCATTCCTCATTACCCCCGTCCTCAACTCCCTCTTTTTCCTCATTCAGTCGATTTTCTTTGAATATAATTCGCAGCGGAAAAGTGCGGAGAACGAAGGCACATTGACGTTGATGGATTTTGGCACTTACACAGGCTAGCGCCTGTCACTTTCCTAACACCAAATGCGACTCCAAACAAAAAAAAAAAAAAGGAGAAGAGGGAACGTCAGACTCTGCTCCAGTTGAGCTGACTTTGAAGCGCATTTTAATGAAGAATGATATGTTGGCATCGCCGCAGCCGCAATTTTCCAACCACCTTCCCCTTCCCAGTCCCTTTCCCTTCCCAAACAAAATTTAACCACATCGACTGACAGTTTTCGCGGCTTTGCACGCAGCCACTGTCGAAGTTGAAGGGCGACGACATCAACAACAAAGTTTTCCTGTTCAACAGGAAGTGAATAAAAAATCAGACGAAAAAATACTCAAGAAAAATGAAAATTTGTTTCAAATTATGTCACTGCTTAGTCTTCGATTTGTGTTTTCCCAGGGAAATGGCAAATAAATATATGCGTGAAATATTTCAGCTATTCAAATTTTGTGGAAATTTTCAGGCATCAATTTGATTGGAAATTGATGGCTGTCTCGGAAAATCTCAGGATTCCAGTCCCCCATTTTCATGCCTAAATATTCGACCCCCTGCTAACCCCCCTAAGATAAATAAACGAGCAAAACAGCACAAAAAAAAAGGAGAAAAAATAGAAACAAAAATAAATACCCCTGAACATTGCTTTTCTATGCAAAGTGTCACATGGCCAATGTGCCACGCCCCCTACTACCTACCGCCGCCTCTGCCTTTTCATGCATATCAAAATGGCAACAATAAACGCCAACAAAAGAACAACAATAACAAACATTAACATGGAAATACACACGCACACGAGGAGGACAAAAGGCGGCAGTCAAAAATGTTGCAAATGTAAGCAAAATAAAAAAAAAATATATAACAAAGACACAATTACACTCACAGACCGAGTGTTTGCTGTATTTGTATATCTGTATCTGTGTGTGTGTCTGTGTATGTGTATTTGTAAAACCAAAACTTTTGACATAATAAAATGGAATGTTATTGTTAAAAAAGTTACTTGCATATTAAAACAAACGAAACTTCCCACTGCCTCTATCTCTCTTTTATTTTTTGTTGTTTTTATTATTTCACCATTTGTTTGCCCTTTGCATGTGTGTGTGTGTGTGTGTTTGGTTATGTGTGTGACTGTATTTTTACTTGCAAATGCCGCATACAAATGCAAATGGCCGGCGTGTGAAACGAGCAGCACTGCCAAAAGCAAACAACTTTAATTGAACTGTTTACCCGATTTTTATTTTATGCCACCTCAAGGCCCCCAAAACTCCCCGCCCCACCCCTGGGAAAGCTGTGTGTAATTGTTATGGTTATGTTTGTGATGATTATTTGGCTCGCTGCACAGCTGCCCACATTTTGGATGGGACATTATCAGTTGACTGGAAGCGAGTTTATCAGTCTACGTTTTACCGGAGGGAATTTGCAGCCAAGGATTGGACAGACGGAATGCACTACAGGCAAGGAGTCAGTAGTGCTTTAGTAGAAATTATTAATTCATTAAATCTTATGTTTAATCTTACAGGTAAGGTATAGGGAGCCAAAGAAATCAAAAGAGTTTTAAATAACTTTAAAAGCTTTCCAAATGAAGGCATTTAAAGGATTTTTGGTATAAAACTAAATTGTAGCATACTTTTAGACACAAAGTGGTATTTCAGTGGCTTTAAAACTGTTCTGATTTCCTTAAGACCCTTTAATATATTCACATTTTAAGATAGGACATGATCATTTGATCTTGCTAACACGAAGATTTCCTCTCTAAAGATTGCACAAGCTATACGACATCGATGTAGCTGGGCTTTTATCTAATATACTCTTAGCACGTCTACAGACAACCAAGCTAATGCCAAAAAATATAAACGTAACGATTAACGAATCTTAAGTTGTAATAAAATAACTGGAAAATACAACAGTTAACGAGCCGAACACGTTACGTATACTTAATAAGAACAGTAATCGTAAGGTGGGGGGAAAAATTGGATATAGCTGTAGATAGGTAATATATATATGTAGGTAAGAATTTTGGATTGTACTCACCTTTACTAGCACCGTCCGGGCCACGAAGTATGGTGCACTCCTCTATAGTGCCGAACGGATGGAAGATTTGTCTAACATCGTCTTCGGTCTGTTGTTTGCTGAGCATGCCAACGAACAGCTTGCGATCTAAATGCTCTGTTTTGTTTACGGTTTTGTTCATGTTTCATGTCATGTCATGTGATTCGATCGATCCGATTGATTTTTTTTTTTTTTTTTATTGATTTCGATTGATTTTTTTTGTTTTATTGTTGCACCAAAAGAGACGGCAAAATGGACAAGTGGCAATGTGTGTTTGTTTGTTGGTTTGGTGGCAGTGTGTGTGTGTGTGTGTGTGTGTGTGTTTGATCGTGTTTGGTTGTGTGAAAATGATAAATTTTCAATCAAGAAGCCATAGCCAGAGAAAATTCGCATTAAATTATATTATAAATCGGAAAAATGAATACGGAAAGAATAGAGATTCTCGATCATAATAATATGTACGTGTGTCGTATAAAGAGAGAGATGTAAATGCAACAGGGTTACACATTACGCAACAATTGTTTTTTTGTAACGAGTAACGAACGCAGCAGGCACATTTACGTAATTGTTTTTGTTTTTTTGTTTTATGTTTTGGTAATAAAATTTTCAACAGGCGCAAAAATACCCAAAAAGGAAAGTAAAAGCAACAACATTTATTTAAGGAGAAATTCGTTGGTGTTTTGGGTGGATAGTTTGAGCACCAATAGAGCAAATACAATTACAACATTTATTAATGTGATTAGGTTTTTTTTTTTGGTTTTTATTTTTGGGTGGGAAATAGGGAGTACAAATTTTTGATTTTGGTTTGTTGAAATTGTTGCATCAAGAAGGTAGAAATTTCGTTATCAAATCAACCGAATCAAATCAAAAGATTACGAATTGAAAACCACAAAAATAAAAGTGAAATCAGTTTTCAGAAAATCATAAGAGAAGAATTGTCAGTTTTCCAATTTTGCCAATTTTGATGTATTGATTTTTTTTTTTTTTTTTTTTTTCGTTTCAATCATATATATATATTTGATATAGAGCACACGAACAAGTGTTACATAAAAAGGAAAGAAAAGAAGATAAAAATGGGTGATATTTAGTTAAAATTGTCATACAATTTGTATTTCTTTTTTTTTTTTGGTTTAACTTACAACTTACGAGAATCGAAATTAGCTAGTCATATACGTAATATATAAGTATGAATATTTATAGGTATTAATATATATAATATATATATATATAGAGCAGACACTCACACGCACACGCACAAGCAATCCAATCTCGCACACACTTACAAGCTGGCCACGCACAGAGCTACTGAGTTAAGGATAGACATTGAAAGGTAATTGAACACGCTAGCCACTACTTGGAAAAAAGAGTTGGTAAAATTACGACGAGCATGAGGAAATGTATGGCTTAAAAGTACTTAGAGTCTAGATTTAAGGCTAGTAATGGATGTACGATGGTGAGATAGATGATGGTGGTGGTAATGGTTTTCTGTTGGTGATCAGCAAAGAGATTCTCGAAAATCGAATCAATATCTACTGGTAAAATGGGATAAGGTGTCGCACAAACGGCAGCTGTCACGGCTGTCTACCCTCTCTCAATTTTCTATTTTCACATTTTTCGCCATTGAAGGAGAAGCACATATAAGCTGGTCGCCCAAATCCAAAAAGGACTTGGTATCATATCGAAAATTGAGCGTCACATAATTGGCAAAACACTTGCCACAGACAGTCGAGCTAAGGCAAGCCAGTCCGAACCGAGCTGCTGTCGCGTTAAAGTGGCAAAAGCAATCGAAGTAGAAAATAACTAATACGACACGTTGGACCCATGCACATGGCCTGCAGGCAATTGTCTTGTGTCCGGGTTAAGCCTAATGGCATTTGGGTTCCGTTTCGTCCTTTGCCCATCTCCTACTTGCCTTGTCCCAAGCACGTGCAATAAGCCAAACAACGCCCCTGGCATGCTAAACAACAACAACAGCAACAACAACAACGACAACAACTAGAAGAAAAGGGGTGAAAAAGATGTGGAAGCAGTTGGAAGGGTTGGCTTAATAAAAATGTAAAGCACGTTGAAACGGAGGGTAGGGCAAGGTAAAAATAGTGCAGCATACTTTGCGGCGCCTGCTGTTGTACATATGAAATGGCATAGTTCAACTGGCTGTTAACAGTTGCGGCCAAAAAAAAAAAATAAAGAGAATAAAGAGAGAACAAGAGGGTACGGCTGGTGGGTGGTGGGTGGCAGGGTCAGGACAAAAGGATTTGCACAATGTTTAGCCTGGCGTTGCAGCAATTTTCTACAATTACCTGAGGCAAAACGACACAGACCGGCAGGGATAAAATGCACACAGGGCTTTCAGTGATTCCCTTTTGGTTGTTCTCCTCTTTTGCTTTTACTTTCCATTTTTTTTTTGTTTTTTTGGTCTCTGAGCTAAAGGAAAGAGCAGTGAAAATAATATTAAAGGCCATTAGGCTCATATAGACAAGTTAAGTGGCTCCTGGTCCGGGTCCTCGGTTCTCGGTCCTCAGACTATAGAGATTCCTTTTTCCCAGCCATGTGTGGCAGTTTTTAGATTTTATTTTTATGCCTGCCCCGGCAAAAGAAGTCATTAACGTGTCGTTGTCTTTGATGCTGCAGCAGTGCCAAAGTGAAAGCAAAAAGAAAGCCAAATTAAATTAGCTAACCACATGGCAACTTTTGTACATGTGCGAGCGAAGCCAGGAGAGACGACAAGGACAGGCCACTAATTGTTGCACGTTATGTTTTTGCTCAAAATCTCCCAAGCCACGGCTCAGCATCATCCCGCAGCCAACTGCATCTTTTTTCCCTCTCTCTGGGTAAGAGTAATTGTATTTTAAGTCCCGGCCAAAGGTGAAAAAGCCAGTCGCGTCTATGAATAATACAAAAAATTGTGGAGACAGCGGCGCCAGAGGATAAATAAAAAAAAAGAAAAAAGTTAAAAGGAAAAACTAAACACAAAGTCGCTGACAAAGCGAAAGTCAAAGCTCAAAGCTCATGTGTCCCTGAACTCCCTCCATTTCTCAGTTCTTTTCGCTGTTTTTTTTTACTGTACTGGCTGGACTTCTTTGACTGGCTGGCTGGGTGGCTGGGCACTGTTGCCAATTGACATGTAAATTGACGTTTAATGGCTGCTAATGAGCGTCTGAGGATGAGTTCCTCCTCATCCAGACAGAGTGGACAGTTGGGGGGCCATTTGAATATCTGAATAGTGAAGAGTAGGCGGCGATCTCAGGTGGACGCATTAAGTCGGAATTTCTCAACTCAATAGCAGCTGCCTATTCTAAAGGGATTACCCGTCAATCTGGTGAACCCTTTTGCCAACCAATTCCAGCTAATAAATCATTAAACAAACAAATAAATACTCCATTAATTTTCACAGCTTAGCCAACATTCTGAGAACCAACTACTGAGCAACAAATGAAGATCCTGCCGTAATGCGACCAATTCATATCTGAAAATGTCTTAATCTGATTACGGAAGATAGCTCAAAATGCTATGTAAATATGTTTAAGTTATTAATTATTTTGTGGGGATTTTCAAGCTCTTCGTTCGTTATAATTACAAAACTTTGTGTGTGTGGGAGAGACGGAGTGCCTGTCTTGGAATAATATTTGCTTGGCAAAAACTGATTGAAAACGAAATCAACCCCCGGGATTCCCATACCCACCGCCCCAAAGTATCTTTGTATCTCTCAGTATCCCTGTAAATCTGTATTTATGCGTTTGTATCTCTCGTCTGACCACGTTTATTTTGCTATAAATTATTGAAATTGTAATTACTTAGGCAGGAAATGGGTAAATGAGTACCAAATCGTATACTTAATGCCTTACTACAGCTCTCAACTGGCTCTTTACGTTGATATGGCCCGATTTTCTTAGCTGCTTCTAATGAAAATTTAATTAGAAATATATATGTATTGATTAAAGCTGGCAGGCAGCACTTAGAGTAGTTTTTCATTTGCATTTTTCCAGATTCTATTACAGACCTCTTCTGCTCAACTTTGATTGATGATGTTCCCCGGGAACTTTGAGAGTGTGAGATTGAGTGACTGGTAAAAGGAAACTAATTAATATGTAATTAGTGACACTCATTTGACATGTAACGAGGCTAATGTAAAAATATTCACTACTCTTTCTCAGTATTAAGAGTGAGTATAGGCTTGGGGGATGGAGAATTCATTGCAAAGATTTTGATTAAAATGTAAATGACTCCTTCTCGTACAGCCAATTCATACGCCATATGCTAAAGCCCAATCACTGGGATCAGATGTGGCAAATGTTATGCTGCCCCATCAATATTGCCGGCAATTGTTTCGCTCCACGTCCTGGCCAAGTGTGCCTGCAGGCGGGTCGACATTCCATTTTTATGGCACTCAGACAGAATGCCAGACAGGCGGTCTGAAAGTCATCCCCGAACAGCCGTCGGAGGTGTCAGTATTTATACAGCAAATAAGCTAAATGCGCTCTTTATGAGTCCCTCAGCGTTGCTGCCCGGCTGCAAGGCAGTTGGTGTCGCCACCCGACAATTGTGTGGCAATTGTCAAAAGTCACCCCCCTTCAGTCTTGACGTTTAAATATGACTAGAGATAACTCAGCAGCTTCCACAAGGGGGTCGGGTCTCTTTGCTCTTTTCATCTTTGTTGCCATTGTGTCGCGAATCCTTTGGGCCTCCTTCCGGCGACTTTTCGAGTTTATTTGTCAGTCTCTGGAATTCCTCCATAATAAGCGTAAAACTCGACTATAGGCTGGGGACAAAACTGTTGGAATTATACAAAATTCAAAGCGAGAAAGCCAGCAGCCTTAACCCTAAACTCAAGTTAGAAGTAAATTAGTTATTAGCCTTGTAAGTAGTTCAAAAGTTAAACCAGCTGATGGGGTGGGGGGAAGTTCAGTTTCGGAGAATTGGAAACGGGTAAAGAGCCGCTAAAATGCGCCTAATTGTTAATTAGTGTCAGCGTGAATTTTGGTGTGCGGCTATACAGTGCCAGACATTTTCATAGTCACATTTTTAGGCAGAAAAGTTTCTGTGTTTTTTGGGCCAGGACCAGGACTGCGGGGACAGGACCAAAAGTCAAAGGCAGACCGAGCGGAAATAGGAAGAAG